TGTTGTTTTTGTTGCTGGGTTGATGCTTGTAAGTTGCTTATTGGTAAGTAGTTTTATTGCTAGTATTTAGAATCCTTAGGAAATGACTGCTTCTCAGAAATGTCTTCCAGGTGTAGCTGGCTTTTAGGTTTTGAGCCTGTTGCAAGGTCCTACCTCTTCAGTTTATTGGGGATGAGAAGTTGCTGCCTGTTTGGCCTAGCCCCTGGTTCTTTGGCACTGGCCTATAGTATTGCTATGACCCTTTGGCAATTTCAGTCTTGGCATTCTAGAGAGAAATATTGATGAGCACAATTATGTCACCTTGGCTAAAGTAGTACAATTAGCAATAACAACAGCATCAAACACAGCCTAGAAAATGACAAACTGTGGTAACTAGTAATTTGCCTCCTTTAATCCTATGAACTAGATTTGTGGTTATATAAAAAAATCTAAAACAGAAAATTGCACACAGGAAAGGAAAGAAGGGAAAGGAAAAATTATGAGAAAAGGAAAAAATGGAAACAAAGTCTTTGTAAATAGGGAAGGATGAAGGGGTTGAAGGGAGGGCAGGGAATAGGGAAAAAGAACCAAGATACATTATGTACAGGTACATCATGTAAAGTTCCCAATGATAAATGTAAATGTATTGTATACCTAAAATACACCAATAAAAGAATTTAAGGGAAAAAAAAAGAGAAAATTGCACACAGTAAATATGCCCTTGGTAGGGCAATTTTACCTTCAGGGGAGAAAATTTAAAAGGGGTTGGGGGAGAAATAGAAGAGGAGGAAGAGATTAGAAGCAAGCCTGGAGGACAAAAGAAGATTGGTCAAACTTTGTGAAATGGTGAAGACAGGAGGAAAGAGGAAGAAATAAAAACAACAGAACCACAACAGCAACAAAACCAGAAATAATATTCACTCATATAAAAAACAAGAACAATCAAGAAAACAAAACAAAAACAAAGAAAATAAGAAAATAAAAAATCCTTTACAAGGCATGTCTGTTGTCATTGGTAGACAGAATGAATAGACAGAGTCCAGATCCATGTTGATTAATCCCACAAGCCAGCCGTAAGCCTGAACCTTTAATTCCAATGAAGTTCAGGCTAGTTTCTTCCTGTGAGGCTTGAACCCCATTTGTTCAGCCTACAACACTCTGTGCCTCCTGTGGTTCCGCCTTACTCTGTGGAGCCAGCCTGCAGCTGCTCTAAGTTCCGAGGTCATTTGGTCTGGCTGCCACTTTTTTTTTTGGTACTGGGGATCAAACTCGGGTCCTTGTGCTTTCGAGGCAGGAGGCACTGAGCTAAATCCCTGGCCCTGCCACTTTAAATTTAATAAATAATCTGTGTTTTCTTGGGGGGAAAAAAAAGTGTAAACAATACCCTAGGCTTTTTTTTTCCAGGTCCTTGGGCTTGCGAGGCAGGCGGCAGAACCGCTGAGCTAAATCCCCAGCCCTGCCCTAGTCTTTTTAAAAATTATTTATCCCATAGTTTGTTTTCTGATTCTGAGGTGCTTATGAAAAATCCTAGCTATTCAGTAAAGTATTAAAATACTGCTTTTTGACTATGAAATAACAGTTGATTAGTTCTATTTTAGTTAACAATAAAGCCTTATTCCCAAAGACAGAACATTTTGTCACTGTCAGAAATTTAAAAATACATTTTGAAAAAGGGTTCTGAATTACTTCAGCATTTCTTTGAAGTACCTCAGTGTTTGTAAGTCTTAGATTTCTTCTGTTACTCTTCCTTTGGGTGCATTAGGGAGACTTGACATGACAAAGTGGAACTGTAACTCAGAAAACTTGTCTCCGGTATTTTTGTTTTTTGGTACTGGGGATCAAAGTCAGGACCTTACTCTTGCAGGGCAGGTGACGGCACCACTGAGCTAAATCCCTGGCAACTTGTCTCCTTTATTAAAAACAAAAATTAGGGCCGGGAATTTAGCTCAGTGGTGCTGCCACCTGTCTTGCAAGCGCAAGGTCCCGAGTTCGATCCCCAGTACCCCAAAAAAAACCCCAAAATTAAAAACGACTGCTGGCTTTGTGTCATTAAAATCTTATAACCCTTTAACACTCTGGTTCTTTCTTCCCTCTGCAGTATGCTGAGACAGTGAACATGGACTTTTCTCGACTGCACACGTATACCCCACCCCAGTGTGTGCCAGAGAACACTGGCTACACCTATGCACTCAGGTGAGTTCTCAGGTGGGTGCTGTGCCTGCCCAGGGCCTGGCCTTGAGGCCAAACATTCCTCCTGTGTGTGGACCTGCAGGGCTTTCAGGGGACCACCATAACTGTGTTCTGTCTGGAAAATGGAAAAATCTTAGCCTTTATGTTGCATTAAGACTGCAGCACTGCTGAGCCTACACAGAGACAGAGGCTGTGTGGCTGCTCTGAGGGCCACATATTTTTGCATCAACTCATCCGGTGACATACATGTGAGTAATTGCAAGTGACTTGCTGCTTGAGCCCCACCTACAGGGCTGTGATCTTTAGGACAAGTCTGTGGTCAGGCTAGTGTGTTGTGATTTATGCAGATGACTCGATGGTTCTGAGTTGACAGAAATAACCTGAAAGAATATTTTGAAAGACTACGGTTTGAAGAGCATGACTTTGATCAGGTGCCATTTTCTGTTTTTATTCATGGTCTGATATCCTAAAATTTAACATTTAAGTCTTAAGAGTTGCTGACCTGCCATGTCAGATAGAAAGGATGGCTGAAATGAAACTCCATACATACAGTAATGGCCTAGTGCCAAAGAAGCTCCGTTACTAGGCTGGTGGGGATCTGACTGCAAGTAACAAAAGCCAGGCACCGTGGCAAGATGCCTAAAGGCACATGGAGAAAGTGTTTGTATCACCTTTCAGTGGTTTATCTTCTCAAGGTTGCAAATATAAAGAAACCGTAAGAAAATTAGAAAGTTTTTTAAAGGTTCATTTATTGGTACATTTTAGGTATACAATATGATGACATTCATCATTTGGAATTTGTACTTTGACATGATATATCTTGGTTCTTATTTTTTTTTCCTATTTCCCACCCCTCCCTTCAACCCCTGCACCCCTTCCTATTTACAATGACTTTGTTTCCATTTTTCTCCTTTTCTTATGTTGATTCCCTTTCCTTTCCCTTCCTCCTCCCCCTTCCCCTTTGCACCTTTTCTTCCTATTTCACATTATCTATTATACATTTTGATCCTTATTTACACTTTCAGTTCCTCACACCAGAGATAGTATTGGTATTAACACGTGTGTGTCCTATTTATTTCACTTAAGAGTATGGCTTCGATTTTTTAAAAAAAAATACTTATTAGTAGTCTTTGTTCAGATCTCATATTTGACAGTTGAGCTTCTATTCATGATTCCAGGCCCTGTCGCCTCTGCCCAGGGACACGCTCTGTCTCTGAGAGGAACTCTGGAGTATCAGAACTGGCCAGCTCAAGTGAAGTTGCTCCCTGTTCCTGCTGTGGAGCATAGAAAGTTATTCTTGGTAATTTATTTTTAGCTTTTATAACCCATTTTAAGTATAGTTTGAAAAAATGCTTATGGCTAGTCTGTATAATGGGAAAGTTACACTAAATTCGTTGAAATCACAGCTTTTTCTTAGAGCTGTGGATAAAGCAGATGGACAGGAGTTGATCAGGCATGGTGTCCTAAGCTATGTTGGAAATTTAAGTTTTATTTAAGGGAAGTGGAAAGTATGAAGAGTTTAAATCTAGGAAGCTGTACATCATCCCAGAACTGGGTCCTGTGTACACAGAACAGTGAGACCAGTGGTGGCCTGGAATAGGCTGTGCAAGGTCAGGGCCGGAGAGGGGGTGACAGCCATGTAGCAGAGGTTCAGGAGAGGAAGTAGGTGGATGAGCATGGGGGCTTCTGGGATTGGCGCTCAGAGGAGGAGAAGGCTAGGAGAAGTCGACCAATGACAGAAGACTCAGTGATAAGGAGAGAGTTGGTGAGCCAGGCCAGCAGTCATTGGCATGTAGTGACAGACCCCCGGAATGGGTCAGAGTGCCACAGGCCCAGGGATGGCAGGGCCAGACAGAAGAGTGGAAAGATGGGGGCTGGGCCTGGCAGACTTGGCAGTGAGCCAGAGCATGGCACAGCAACCTGTACCAGCCCCCAGCATCACATTCTCACACCGTGGCTGTGCTGTCTGTCCTTCTGTTCTCAGCTGTCCGTATTGCCGGCCTCTGCTCTGGAAGCCCCTTGTCTTCTAACCGGGGGGGAGCCTGGTCACAGGCACAGCTCTTTCCTCACCTAGAGGTGGAGGGGTCCCATCCACACTGTTTTCCAGTAGCACCTCACCTCAGGTTCCGCACTGCTCTCGTCCTAGTTCTTGGCAATTTCAGTGAACACCTGATTTTTTAACGTCCTCGTCACTCTGTGTGTTTCATTAACTTTTTTTTCTCTTGTGGAAAATATCTTACAATGTAAAATTCAAAGTGTAGCAGGAAACTTGTTTGACTGCCCAAGACTTCATCCATTCTCTACGGGTTACTCTAGGTAACCAACCAAAATACCAGTATCGCACCAAAACCCCAGTACAGTAATTTAATTTATTTATTTTGTTTTTGTTTTTGAGACAGGGCCTCACTATATAGTTTAAGTTGCCTTTGAACTCACTAGCCCAGGCTGGCCTCAAACTCACAGTGATCCTTCTGCCTCAGCCTTCCAAGTGCTAAGATTACAGGCATGTTCCACCATACCCTGCCAACCCCAGTAATTGGTCCTTAACACCTCATATTTAGTCAGTATTCCAGTTTCTCCCAGGTCATTGACTTTAGTTTTTACAATCAGTTTTTTAAACCAGCCCAACCCAGTCGTGGTCCTTGTATTGTTTTTTGTTTTTGTACTAATGACCAGACCAAAGACCTTTGCACTGAGCTACATCCCAGCCCTTTTAAAAAACTTTATTTTTTATTTTAAGGCAGAGTCTTGCTAAGTCATTAAGTTGCTCAGGTTGCCTTTGACCTTGAAATGCTCCTGCCTCAGCCTCTCAGAGTGCTGGGATTGGAATCCTGTGCCACCACACCCAGTTGATTTCTTTCTTGAGTCCTGACCTGATTTCCTGTGAAGAGGTGTTAGATCTGAAAGTTGGCCTTCTTTTATTTCCTTCTTTCTGTATTGGCATGCCTCTGTGGCCAGGGGTGCAGTGGCACATAGTATCCCCTCAGTCTTGAGGAGGCTCCTGGTATCTGTCATCTGTTTTGTGGTGTTGGGGTTTCCTGTTGTTGTCAGCTTGTCCCATCAGTTGCCAAGTCCCCATCAGGTTCCCTCCATTGTGAGTATTATAGATGTTGGTGTCCAGTGCTGCCCACCCCATTCAGAGAGTAGTCTAGCAGGGAGGCAGCCTCTGCCTCCTTTGACATCCATTGGCAGCTGAGCTGCCCACAGAATGGGAATGTTGCTGGGTGAATTCACCAGGGTCTCCCTGGGAGCTAAAGAGGCTACTCTAGGCAAAGGACAAACACTGGCTTTGAGTTGGTGGCTGAGAGCCCAGGCCCTGATGGAAAAGCTGAGCAGGCAGCTGAGAGCAGAGGACAAGTAGCTTTCTCTGCTTGCCAGGGAGAGGGTACAGGGTGTGGCCAGCTGAGAGCCTGTGTAGATGCTGCTGATAAGGAGCCAATAGAATGTGGAAGATGAAGAAAAAAGGGCCAGAAGTACCCTCCAGAGGAAGAAGGGTTCCGGAGAGGAGAAAGGGGGAGAGATGCGGGCTACAGTCAAATTTCCTTTCCAGCACAGCAAGAAGGAGTGTGGGCCAGCGTTCCCCAGAGGAGTGTGGGTGTGGGTGTGGGTGTGGGTGTGGGTGTGGGTGTGTGTGTGTAAAGAGACTGCATGCAAGGAATTGGCAGGTCCCAAGATGCACAGCTGAGTCAGCAGCTGCAGCCCAGGAGAGCCAAGGGTGCATTGCAGTTCCAGTTGGCAGCACTGAACTCACGGCCAGGAAGAGCCCATGTCCTAGCTCACAGGCTGCCAGGCAAGAGGTCTCCTTCCTGTTTGGAAGAGGGTCTGCCTTCCTGTTCTGTCCAGCCCTTCACCTGATTGGATGCCGTCCACCACATTAGGAGAGCCACCTGCTTTCTGATTCAAATGTAAATCTGACTGAGAAACATAGTCCCAGTCATACTCACCATGTGTCTAGTAGTTCAGACTGGTCTTTGAACTCAATATATAGCCCAGGGTGGCCTTGAACTTAGAGTGATCTTCCTGATCACTTGCCACAGCCACCTGAGTGCTGGGATCATAGACGTGCACCACCATGCCCAGCACAAATGCATTCTTTAGCCTTCACTTTATGCAGATGCTCCTAATCAATGTTGATTTCTAGATTCCAGCCCTGCTCCCCAATGTGAGCTGATTCCATGACCTCACACTGCCAGGTTGTCCCACTTAGTGGGCATGCCACCTCACCGTGGAGGGACCGTGAGACTCTGGAAACTCCCGACACACACACGCGCACACACATTCTCTAGCAGAACATGAAGGCCTGTGATAGCCAGACCCTGACTCCCTTGCCCATTTCTTCCTCCGCAGCTTCCGGTGGCATGGTGGGCCATTTCTCTCATGTTAGGAGGTGCTCAGCCAGCCTGTGTTGTGTCTTCCCTCTTCTCTGAGAGAACCTTGCCCCATCACCTCCCTTCATCCTCATGTCGGAGTGTACATCTTCTTCCCTGGGGTGACTATGATTCATGTCTTGAATGAGGGGGCTGATGACAGTGCCAGGACGGCCTTGAACGCCAGGCAAATGGCATGTACCATACCTGTTCATCCCCAGAGAGAGTTCCTTCCATCAGTGATTTTTGACTTACCAGCCACACAGAATGATGCATCTTTTATTTAATTGCATTGATTTAGCAATTATGTAGAAGGCATTGGAACTGACTCTTTTTTGTGGGGCGGTGCAGTTCTGGGGATTGAACTCAAATCTTTGTACTGAGCTACACCCACGGCCCTTTGTGTGTGTGTGTGTGTGTGTGTGTGTGTGTGTGTGTGCGTAATTTTTTTTTTTTTGGTACTGGGGATCGAACTCAGGATTTTGTGCTTGCGAGACAGGTGGCGGAACCACTGAGCTAAACCCCCGCCCCTGTATTTTTATATTTTAAAATAGGGTCTTGCTAAATTCACCAGGCTAGGCTCAAACTTGTGATCCTCCTGCCTTGTGCTAGGATTAAGAAATGACTTTCTTTGTCACATGCAGACTCAAGTGATCTTGCCTGAGTCTAGCTTGGATGCTCTGTTCCTGCTTTTGCAGGAGCTTGTGTTTCCTTTTTCTCACATTGACTTGTTGTCTTAGTTACTTTCTCATTACTGAGATAAAATACTCGACACCCAAAGTTAAAAGGAGCCCACAGTCTGTAGAGGTTTCGGTTCATAGTTGGCTGGCTCTAAGGCAGGGTAGCATGGAAGAGGGATAACATAGAAGAGAAACAGTCCATGGCAGAGCAGGGCAAGCAGAAGGCAGCAGGCAGCAAGCGACATGCAACAAACACAGCAGTTCTTTCTGTTCCATATATCTTACCCAGGCCACCGGCCCTTTGGGCAGGTAGTACTCACACCCGTAATCCTAGCATCACACTGAGAATCAATCCCAGCAGCACAACGCTAGATCCAGTCATCTCCGAAAAGCCCCACCTATAATATGGGGGTTTGGGGGGATATCTAGATAGAAGCCATAACACTTGTTCAGTGATGTACTGGCCAGTTGGGTGAAATATCACGCAGCAGCTGCTCTTCTTGTTACCTGCTCTGTCAGGGGTGGTGTCTGCTAGTTATGTGTACTCTGATTTTTTTTTTTATATTATCACTGTAATTCCCCATAAGTAGGGATTGTTATAGACAGCCTTTCCTAAGGTGGTAGTTCTTAGGGGTAAGTCTGCATGTGAGTAAGAGTGGTAAGGGCACACACAGAAAGCATTTGTTGACTGATTTTTGTGCACTTACATTTCTGCTTTATAGGAAGATTGTGATACACAAATAGTAGCTCCTTAACATTCACAAGAACTTATGCATTCTGCTTGTTACTTCATTTGTTTTGGACCTGGGCTGTTAACCTAATTTATCTCTGACATCTTTTCCTTCTAGTTCAAGTTATTCTTCTGATGCTCTGGATTTTGAGACTGAGCATAGATTGGATCCTGTATTTGATTCTCCAAGGATGTCTCGTCGTAGCTTGCGCCTGGTCACAGCAGCGTATAGCTCTGGGGACAGCCAAGCTATGGATGCACACTCCTGTGCTAGCAGCACAGCCTCCTTCAAGGACAGAGTGACCAGGTGAGTACCACTTAGCTTTGTCTTCATGGCTTCCAGCCCCAATTAAAACCAGTCTTAGAAGCTTGTTCAGTCTGAGAACGTGTTCCCCCACCTGCTTGAACTTAAGCATATATGTGTGTGTGCACACATGCACAGAACCACCCTATGAAGTCATAGCTTTGCTGTGAATAAAGGCAAACGGAGTCTGGAATCTGTGTGGGTGCCTCCTCTTGAGCTTCTACAGAGTGCAGGTGGTACACCTAAGCTCTTGAGAGCTACTTGACTCCCAGTGATACGGACATTCTCTGGGGCTGCCTTGTCCTTATAATGAACACCTCCTAAATGTCGAGGGGGAGGAGTGTTGCCAGGGCTTCACCTCTAGCACAGACGGCCTCTGTCGTTGGTGACTTGTATCTGTCTGTCAAGTTATGTGAGTGAGCAGGCACACTTGCAGTTTAGGTATGCACCCGTGTTCCACTGTCAAGTGCATTTGCTCTCGGGACTCTGAAGTCCCAGGGGTACTCTTGGTACCTCTCCTGTACCAAGAAGGAGCAGAGTTTACACAGTTTCTTCTGCCTCTGCTGTGGAGAGACAAGGAATGAAAGTGACACCTTTACTGTGCTAAGGTGGCTCTTTGGAGTGGAGATGGTAGGATTGCTGGTGCCTAGACCTGTAATTGTGCTTCCAGCTGGTCTCCCGGGAGTTTGTTATCTAAAACATTAGAGGGCTGGGGATTTAGCTCAGTGATTCCACTGCCTGCCTTGAAAGCTCAAGGTCCCTTGCACTTGGGGTTTGATCCCCAGTACCAAAAACTAAAAATAATTTTTTTTTTTTTTTTTTTGGTACCAGGGATCAAACTTGGGACCTTGCTTTTGTGAGGCAGGCACTAGAACCACTGAGCTAAATCCCCGGTCCCAAAAATAAAAAAAATTTAAAAATTAGATTCCTCACTTTGTGAGCCTCAGGTGCAGTAGTTTCATGACAAAGCTGAGAGCCAGTTGGCTCCAGTATGCTCAGTGTCAGACCCACCCAGCTGTGCTGAGTACACAGAGACCATGAGGTCTGTCCTTGGTGACAGACCAGGGATATGGCTGCTCAGGTGGTGAGTTTGTCACTGCTTTCCCCACTACCAATTTCAGAAAAGCACAAGAGTTAAATTTACAAGTCATAATTTTAAAGAAATTTTTAGGTCATTTTTATTTTCAGGTTATTTTACATTTGAACCACTTTCGAGACATCGGCCACAAAGTAATCTGTAGTTATTTTGTGTTTACAATTTTACGGTAGTTCTTGGACTCCAGCTTAGAAATTATTTTGTAGATTAATAGGAGTTTTATTACAGGAGAAAAGGCATTACAAAGTGGTTTACTTTAAAACCCTGGATTTATCCTCAGCCACAGATTTTGTGCTGGTAAAACCCAATCATTTTGTATTGACTAGAAAAGGTATGTAAATGTGTTTCTTACTCCCTTCTCTCCAGAACAGTAAAACAACGCAGAAGTGCAAGCAAGCAGGCCTCCTTTAGCATCAACCACCTGTCAGGGAAGGCCACATCCTCCAGTGTCAGCCAGGGCGGCTCTGGCAGCCTACAGGGCACTGTGTCTCTGCAGCCTCCGGTTCTGGATGAGTCTCTGATTCAAGAGCAGACCAAAGTGGACCACTTCTGGGGTGAGTCACTAGGAGATGCGGATAGCTTGGCCCTGGCCTGTTTTTTCCTGTGATTGTTCTGGAAAGGAGGCAAGGTGTATCTGGGGGCTGATTTACCGTGTTCCAGTTCAAGGAACATCAGAGGGGGAAATCAGGTTCTCATCACACTCAGGAAGAAATTTTTTGGGTGCTGCCCTGCCTAGCTAAGGTGAAACTGCCCATTATGATGTGGAAGATCAGGCAGTGATCTGATGATATTTTTCTAAATAATATTTTTTCCACTACTAGGTATTGAACCCAGGGGCTTTTGAGTGCTAGGTGAGCACTCTTATCACTGAGCTACATTTAAAATTTTTTTTCTTCTTTTTGTGTTTTTAAAAGTTTTTCTTCTGAGCCTGTGTTTTATTTTATTTTATTTTATTTTATTTTTGGTACTAGGGATCGAACTTGGGTCCCTGCGCTTGCGCAGCAGGCGGTGAAAGCACTGAGCTAAATCCCTGGCCCTGAGCCAGTGTTTTCATAAATTGCCTGGTCTTTTAACAATTGCCTAGGCCTTAAATGTGGGATCCTCTTGCCTCAGCCTCCTGAGTAGCTGGCATTACAGGCACATAGCACCTCACCTGGCTAAATGCATTGCTTTTGTAGAATATTTAAACAAAAAAGACAGTACAGAAATTCACCAGTGTGTTTCTAGAAATCGCTGAGCAGCATGGCAGCCAGAACATTTTTCCAAGTCATGAGAAGGAATGGTGTGCGGAGTTAACTGAGAAGCAAAGTGAGGTGGCTGTGTCCTGACCAAAGCCCATGGCAGTGTGATACATATCTGCATGGGCACATACGGCATCCTAAGGCTGAACAGGGGACGTCCCTTTGGTGAGGAGTACAGAGCTGTTTGTTGAGTCCATCTATGTTCTGACTGGCTTTTCTGAGTGAGTTGAAGACTCAGCTTACTCCAGAAATCCTGTGTGCTCCTTTGGGAGCACTGCTACTAGTTAGGAGGCTCCATCTCACTCATGGGTGCTGAGAGTGTCCTGGACGTCTGGCTCCCCACACCTCCTGCCTGCCTCTTGGGATCAGAGTATGTGTTGTTGGGCATGGGTTCTGCCAAGGCCACCTCCACTTCAAGTCAGCAGGTGAGGCCTGCAGAGTTCTGCATCACTGCCAGCTCCTTAGTGAATAAAACATCTTTACCTTGAATGCTTATATGTCACCATGGCAACCTTTACTCTTTTTTTTTTTTTTTTTCCTGGTGGGATCAGTTCCGTTCAGAAGCAAAAATATGTATGTGTTTTTCAGGTCTTGATGATGATGGCGATCTTAAAGGTAATTACTTGAGTCTTTTTTCCTGCATACTTTTCAGAATAGAAGATGTAATTAGGTGTCTGCAGATTGTGATAAACAGATTCTGTCTACTTTTTGGAAACTTCAGGTGGAAATAAAGCTGCCGCTCAGGGAAATGGTGACCTGGCAGCAGACACAGCAGTCCGAAATGGGTACACCTGCAGAGATTGCAGCATGCTCTCGGAGCGCACAGATGTGCTCACTGCCCACCCTGCCACCCACGGGCCTTCCTCAAGGATTTATTCCAGGGATAGGAATCTGAAACGTAAGTCTGTCTTTAGAAAGTTTCAGTGTCCATATATTCCTTTTCTTGTTACAAAACAGATTTTATAGATCTCTGTGTCTGCACCATTTCTGTTGGACTTGGACTCAAAAACTGTCATCTAAAAGTTTAGAGAAATACGTTGCAAATGTAGCTTGCTCTGCTTGTCCTCTTCTTCAGCATACAGACAGTCTTTTGCACTCTTCCACATTGGACTCTGTGGGGCGGCCATTTTAAGCCAATCTTGTAAATCCTCGTATGCTTATATATCTTGCATTAAATCTCTTTCTCAGGTAAGCATGAACAGCTACACATTTTGGTACAGGGAGTAGATGAAGTTCTTTAATGGCTTTAGTGGTTCCTGGAGTTGGCTTTCTAATTTGATGAGGCCTAATAATGTCACGGTCTCCCTTTCTGATATTGTGGGGAGTATTGATAGTCCTTGATGTGAACTGTTTAAAGTAATAACACAATGTAGATCCATTTGATTATCCTAATTCATCTCTTGTGAGATGTAAGGAATTCAGTGACTCCATATATGAAACTTTTGAGTATTTTTGGCAGAGTGGAAATAATAATGATGTTAGCTGGTTGCTCTTATCATCTCTGGACAAAGTAGTTGAGAAAAACACTGAGCTCAAAACATCCATCAGAAATCTAGTCTTCTAACTGTGAGGACAAATTAATAAAGAAAAATGAGGAGCTCAAGAGATTCAAATTCCCAGCTCCAGATACATAAAAAATTTAAAACTTTTTAAAGTGTGTCCTGAAAGAGAATCTCCTCTCCTTTAGCCACAGGACTGAGATTACAGAAACCCAAACACAGGCCCTCATAATTTGATTGGCTGAAATACAGTGGAAGTTTAATACTCAGCCTCCAAAGGTATTGGAAGTAAAGGTGAGGGCACTCACCCAAAGAATGGGATCCCATAAACTGAGATGGAGATGTTTGGGGAGGCTGCGGATGTTGAGCTCCTAGGCTCTAAGGAGATTATTTTGCCCCAGGAAGAGATGTTTCCACCCACAGTGGCAGAGGCACCCCCACGCCCACCCCCTGTGGTGTTGGGTTCTCCTACTACACCTGAGGAAACTAATCCTGTGCTGACCAGGCATGGTCATGCTGACACTCCTCAGGACCCACCCTCACCACCCACTTTTGCCTCTAGGCCTATAACCAGGCTCAAATCCCAGAAGGCTCCTAAGGGTGAGGTACATAGTGTGACCCATGAGGAGGTCCACTATCCTCCCAACAAACTACTTGAGTTTTCTAACTCTTATAAGGAGAGGCCTGATGAGCAAGTATAGAAATGGATTTTATGGGTGTGGGATAATGGTGGCAGAAACATACACCTGGATCAGGCTGAATTTGTCAATATGGACCTGTTAAGCAGAGATTCTGAATTTAATGTTGCAGCTCATGGAATAAAAAACGGTGTTAATAGTTTTTGCTGGTTGGCAGATGTATGGAACAAATGATAGCACTGTGAATGAGTTAGAGATGTGCACTGGCATCCCTGAAGAGCCCTGTCATTGCACTTCTCTGTATGCCAGACTTTACAGTGGGGACCACAGTTACTTAGTTGGGAAACTTAAGGGCAAAAGGTTTGATTGGATCCAGGAGTGTTAAGGGTCAAATGGCAGCATTAAATAGCCAAAGGCAAGGTACAGGTGCTTATCGTAATGGACAGCAGAAGCAGAACAATGATCAGAATGGTCTCACGTGTGTAGACCTGTGGCTTTGGTGTTGGTTGATTAGTCACAGTTTACAAAAGTGAAATAGATGGGAAGACTACAAAGTTTTTTGTAGATTTATATAATGAAAAAATTTAAGGGCAAATGAACAGAAACCTGCATCAAATTGTAGTAACGGAATCATGGCCCCTTATCCAGATCCAGGATTTGAGCCAGTTTACAGAAACAAAACCCCTTGAATGAAGGAGAGGCCAGGTCCCCTTGAGGAAGGACCTTGGTGCACCATCAGAAATTTATACTGTCAGTCTTTCTCCTATCCTTTCCTAAAGGAACCTGAGGCCTTTTTCCAGAGTGTACATTGGGAGAAGGGAAATAATCAGACATTTTTGAGGTTTACTGGACATTGGTTCTGATCTAACACTGATTACAGGGAATCCAGAATGTCATCGTGGCCCTCCAGTAAGAGTAGGGGCCTATGGAGGTCAGATAATCAATAGAGTTTTAGCAAAGGTCCAACTCATAGTAGGTCCAGTAATTCCTTGAATCCATCCTGTAGTCTTTTTCCCTGTTCCAGAATGCATAATTGGGATAGATAGACTTAGTACTAGTCAGGATCCTCACATTGGTTCCTTAACCTGTAGTGTCAGGGCTCTTATGATTGGAAAGGCCAAATGGAAGCCATTAGAGTTGCCTTTGCCTAGTAAAATGGTAAGCCAAAACCAATAATGCTTTATCTGCAATCCCCTGGAGGGATTGCAGAGATTAGTGCCACTACCAAGGACTTGGAGGATGCCAGCATGGTCCCCACCACATCTCCGTTTAATTCTCCCATTTGTCCTGTGCAGAAGTCTGACTGGTATTAGAGAATGATGGTAGATTACTATAAACTGAATCAAGCGGTGACTCCAGTTGCAGCTGCTGTACCAGATGTGGTTTCCTTGCTTGTGCTGATTAACTCATCTCCTGGTACTTGGTGTGCAGGTGTTGATTTGCCAAATGCCTTCTTCTCCATACCTCTCCATGAGGCCCATCAGAAACAGTTTGCTTTCAGCTGTCAAGGCCAGCAGTTCACCCTCACTGTCCTACCTCAGGGTTATAGTAACTGCAGCCCTGTGTCACAGTTTAGTTTGCCGGGATCTTGATCATCTTTCTCTCCCACAAGGTAGCACACTGGTCCATTGCAGTGATGGTATTATATTGACTGCACCAAGTGAACAGGAGGTAGCAGTCACTCTGGATTTGTCAGTAAAGCTTTTGCGAGCCAGAGGATGGGAAATAAATCCAACTAAAATTCAAGGTCCTTCTACCTCAGTGAAATTTCTAAGAGTCCAGTGAGGTGGGGCATGTAGAGATATCATGTCTGAAGTGAAAGATAAGCTGTTATATATGGCTCCCCCACAATTAAAAAAGCAGCACATGGGGCTGGGGATTTAGCTCAGTGGTTCTGCTGCCTGCCTTGCAAGCACAAAGACCCGAATTCAATTCCTGGTACCAAAAAAAAAAAAGGCAAAATACCTAGTAGATTTTGGCGGCAACACATTCCTCACTTGGGTATTTTACTCGGGCCCATTTACCAAGTGACTTGGAAAGCTGCCAGTTTTGAGTAGGAGTAGAGCCCAGAACAAGAGAAAGCTCTGAAATAGGTCTAGGCTGCTGTTCAGGCTGCTCTGTCACTGGGGCCATATAATCCAGCAGATCCAGTGATACTTGAAGTGTCAGTGGCAGGTAGGGATGCTGTTTGGAGTCTCTGGCAGGCCCCTCCTACTGGGCATTAGTGGAAACCGAGCAGTTGACTGTGGAACACCAGGTTATCGTGCGACTTGAGTTGTCTGTCATGAGCTGGCTATTAATCTGATCCACTGAGTCATAAAAGTTAGATGTGCATAGCTACAACCCACAATTAAATGGAAATGGTCATATGTGACTGAGCCAGAGCAGGTACAGAGGGCACAAGTAAGTTACATAATGAAGTTGCCCAGATGCCCATGGTTCCTACTTCTACTGTGTTGCCTCTGTCTCCCAGCATGCACCTGTGGCCTCATAGGGTGTATCATATGAGTTGTCAGAAGATGAGAAAGATAGGGCCTAGGGCCAGGGATTTAGCTCAGTGGTTCCACCACCTGCCTCTCAAGCGCAAGGACCTGAGTTTGATCCCCAGTACCAAAAAAAAAAAAGAAAGATGGGGCCTAGTTTATGGATGGTTCTGCACGTTATGCAGGCACCATCCACAAGTGCACAGCTACAGTATTATAGCCCCTTTCCAGAACGTGTAGGAAGGACAGTAGTGAAGGAGAACTCTTCACAGTGGGCAGAACTTTGGGCAGTGTACCTAGTACCTAGTAGTGCGTTTTGCTTGGAAAGAGAAATGGTCAGATGTGCTACTGTATACATGAGCTGTAGCTAATGGTCTAGCCAGATGGTCAGGAATTTGGAAGGAACATGACTGGAAAATTGGTGACAAAGATATTTGGAGAAGCGGTATGTGGATAGACCATATGGCCAAGGAATGTAAAAATATTTGTATCCCAGGTAAATGCTTACCAAAAAATGACCTCAGCAGAAGAGGACTTTAACAATTAAGTGGATAGAATGACCCATTCTGGAGATAGCAGTCAACCTCTTTCTTCAGCCATCCTTGTCATTGCCCAATGGACTCATGAACAGAGTGGCCATGGTGACTGGGATAGAGACTATTCATGGGGGCAGCAACCTGCACTCCTACTCACCAATGCTGACGTGGCTACAACCACTGCTGAATACCCAATATGCCAGCAGCAGAGACAAACACTGAGTCCCTGGTGTGGTGCCATTCCCTGGGGTAATCAGCCTGTGACCTGGTGGCAGGTCGATTATATTAAACCACTTCCATCGTGGAAAAGACTATGCTTTGTTTTTACTGGCATAGACTCTTACTCTGGATATGGATTTGCCTTCCCTGCACATAATGCTTCTGCCAAAACTACCATCCATGGACTCATAGAATGTTTTATCCACGGTCATGGAATTCTACACAGCATTGCCTCTGACCAGAGAACATATTTTATGGCCAAAGAAGTGAAGCAGTGGGCTCTTGCTCATGGAATATACCTGTCTTACTGTAGGGAACAGGGAAAGGGGACGTTACTAGAACCTCTGCAGTAAGTCCTAGTCTCCTGCGAGCCACGGCAGCACAAGGCGAATTAACTTACTATACAGGAAATGTAGAAAAAATGAGACTTTGAGAAGAAGCTGAGCTTTGGGCCTGATCAGTGCTGCTCTGGACAGCAAAGACTAAAGCCCCCGGCTTACCACACCTTTTATTCAGTACATCAGGAGAAACAGATGTGACTTGCAGAGAGTTCAGTACATTGGGATAAACAAATATAACAAATGACTGAGGGGCTGTGGAAATCCAAGAACAATGAGGAACTGAGTAGATGAAGATTTGGTTCCTCCCAGGATGTCTTCAGCTGGTGTAATCTTGTTCTGGAGAATCACAGCATCATTGGATCATTGAGGTCTCAGTTGTGACCGGAGGCCAATATGGAATTATGTCTCAAAATGTCATAGCTGGCCTGTAGGCAGGAGAACTAGGCCTAATCAAAAGATTTTCCCCCAAAATTATGTAGCATCACTCCCGACGTCTTACCATATTCCTTACCATCCAGAAGCAGCTGGATTGATAGAAAAGTGAAATGGTCTTTTGAAGACACAGTTACAGCGCCAGCTAGGTGACAGTATCTTGGAGAGCTGGGGAAAGAAAGGCTCTTTAAAAGGCTGTCTAGGCTTTGAATCAGTGTCCACTATATGGTATTATGTCTCCCATAGCCAGAATTAACAGGTACAGGAATCAAAGGGTGGAACTGAGAATGGTACCACTCACTGTTACTCCCAGTGATCCACTGGCAAAATTTTGCTTCCTGTCTACATGACTTTACACTATCCTGGCTTAGAAGTCTTAGTTCCAGAGTGGGGAAGGCTTGCATCAGGAAGCACAATGATACCAGTAAACTGGGAGCTAAGACTTCCCCTGGTCATTTTGGTCTCCTCACACCTCTGAGAAAACAAGCTAAAGGAGTTACAGTGTGGACGGGAGTGATTGACCCAGGCTATCAAGGGGGAAATTCAAGTACTCTACAATAGGGGAAAGGAAGAATATACTTGGATGCAGGAGATCCCTTAGGGTGCCTCCTAGTGTTATTATGCCCTGTTATTAAAGTCAGTGGAAACCTACAGCATCCCAATCCAGGAAGAATGGCAAATGGTCCAGAACTTCAGGAATGAAGGTATGGGTCACCCACTGGAGAAAGAACCAAGATCAAAGTGCTTGTTGAAGGCCAAGGGAATACAGAATAGGTAGTAGGTAGTAGAAGAAAGCATAAATACTAGCTATAACCCCATGATCAGCTATAGAAACGAGGATTGCAATTATAGTAGTTCTCTCCTAATATGCTTTCTATGTGTCTGGTTGTCAAGTTGACAAGGGGTAGATTGTGTTAGTTAACCAATGGTGTCGATTTGAGTAACAGTCAACTAAATTGGATCAGCATAGTTCTGGGTGTGGCTGAGGGGATTTACTAAAGACAGGAGACCCAACCTGGGTAGGTTTGTCACCTAAATAATATAAAAGGAAACCAAAAAAGGAAGGCTTGCTTGCTTCTGTTTTTCGGAGGCGCTCCAGTCTTCACCTTCACCTTGGACGTTGTCTCCTGGCTTCCAGTGCAGACTCTTCTGTATTTCCTTGGCGCCTCCTGCACAGACCCTTCAGCCTTCATTGCAGACCCTTTGGCCTCCTGGTATGGACTCACACAGAACACTGCAGTGAGGTCCAGGCCTTTGACTGAATCCTTTTTTTGGGGGGGGGCGGTGTTTGTTTGTTTGTTTGTTTGTTTTACCGGGGATCAAACTCGGGACCTTGCGCTTGCAAGGTAGACGGCAGAACCACTGAGCTAAATTCCCAGCCCCATTTGACTGAATCCTTTGGATCTTTAGAACGTAGACAGCCCTTTTGTACTCTTCCACACCTGGTGGCCATTGTAAGCCAGTCTTGTAACTACTTATGTACATATATATCTTGTGTTAAATGTGTTTCTCTAGTGAGCACTGACTGATACAAAGGGGAAAGGAAAGGGGCAGAGTCAAAATGATGTGAATTTCCTTGTACTTTGATGACATGTGTGGTTGGGTACCTCCATATCAGCCAGTGTCACTCAGCATTTAGCCTGGGCTGGGGCTCTGCATGGATGCGCTCAGAGCCGATTCTACCAGCAAGCACCGGCGGTAAGAAAGGGGTTAGCTACGGTAAGAAACCTGGTGGGAGGTGTGAGGCTCGGACTGAACCAGATGTCCCCAGATGCTGCAGTGTTTCAGGTGCCCAGTTAATGCTGAGCACCTGAGATAACTTAAGTCAGCTTCTTTCCTGCTTTTAAAAAAATGATTAACAGTTCTCATCAGCTTGAACCACCAGTGGTACATGCATAACTATTTCATCGGGTGGCTTGTGCCACCTGATGAGACTGTCCCATGCCACCAAATGGAACAGTCATACATGAACCACCGGTGGTTCAGAGTTGCCCAGCAGCAAGAGATACGAGTTATGATTCCATCATGACCATGTTAAAATTCATCTAAGATAAAATTAACCATTAACCATCTTAAAGTGTACCACTCAGTGGCATTGTATTAAATTCACCCAGCTGTTATGTTCCTGTGGCGTGAAGTGCATTTGTATCTTCACTTAAAGTGGCATCATTTGTACATCTACATATATAGTTTTGCAGCTTTTTATTTTATAAGCTAATTGAGATTAACTTCATTCTTTTTAGTGTCTAACCTTTATGATTTTATCAAAATTTAGTCATTTTCTGGATGGATGTCCATGTTTTTTGTGTTTATATGCCACTAAAAGTATTGTTTCTTTGGTTTGTTTGGTTGTACATGGATGTGTCTCTTTAATGTAAACAAGCTGGAAATGAATGGATGTGTTCAATTTAGATTGTTCCAATTGCCTTTGTTAAAGACCAACTCAGATTGCTCTTCCCTACATCAGGATAAGGGTCCCCTTCCTTCTCTCTTATTTTTTGGTGCTGGGCATAGAACTCATGGCATTACACATGCTAAGCATTTACCACTGACCTTTAGCCCCAAGATCCCCATATTCTTGCCAAGTCTTATTTTTGTTTTGTCTGAATCTTGCCAATTTGATGGATAAAAAATATATAGTATTTTTGATTATCAATAAGACTGAAGTGCATTGTCTCTAATAAAATTTTTTGCTGTTTTTACCAGACTCTGCAGAATTTATACTGCTGTGTAAAACAAAATTGGCACTGGGGCTCGTTGCCTCAGGTTTATGTTTTTCCAGTACATAGTTCCTATTCCTGAACAGCCTTTTGCCTGTTCTTTTAAAACTTATAAAGCGTCTTTTTTGTTGTTTTTAAAAAACCCCAGACTGGAGAGTCAGAGGCTGTGTAAGGTGGCTGGTCTTTGGCAAGACCAAATATTGTGGAGTTGTTAGTCCTGGAGTGGAGTGGTTTTATGGAGGAGGCCCTTGCGGTGGCTTCTTGTGTAGCTCCATCTCGTCACTACTGAGGACACTTCCGAGGCAGTCTTCTTTTATGTGCATTTTTAAAGTGCTTCACTTCTGAAATTAATAGTTGGCCATTTGGATTGTCAGGGAAGAAAATGTTGGCTTTATGGGAACAAATAACATGTGTTCACGGTTTCTTAATAGGCGGTGTGTCTTTCTACATGGATAGGACTTTGTGGCTGGCCAGATACACTACATCATCTTTTGCATCATTCTTAGCTCAACTTTTTCAAGTGGTTTTAATGAAGCTCAATTATGAATCAGACAATTACAAATTGAAAAATTATGAATCAAAAGATTGTGAATCAGAAAGCTGTAAGTCAAAAAGCCATGAATCAAAAGGTATTTAAATGTTTGTTTTTTCCTCTTTTCTCCACCAAATAATGCTTTCAAGATGGAGAAAACGCTTTCCTTGTAAGGCTCTTCACTCATGCTCTCATTCAGTCTTGGCACTGCTTCCTTCTGGCTGCTCTTGAGGGGTCTTATTACAGGAGCTTGTGAAGGTGTTCATGTGCTCTGTACATAGTTCAGTTCTGAAAGTTGTTCAGTAAACATTTTTAAAGTTTTAACATAAAAGATAATATATTAAATTTTCAGTGTTTGCTTATTACCTTTCTTAAGCAAAACCAATTTATTTAGATGGCATTTGGAATCATGTTTCAATAAATTTTTTTTTCTTGGTACCAGGGATCGAACCCAGGACCTTGCGGTTGCGAGGCAGGTGTGGGCACCACTGAGCCAAATCCCTGGCCCATTTCAAATAATTGTTAAGCAAGCCAGTCTTTGTATTGTATTATCTGCATGGGGTTTTAATATCTCTCCTTACATGTAAAGCCCTGTCACTTGTATTTACCTTAGGAGCTGTCAGCCACCCTGAATCGCCTTGGGAATGATCTCTGTCCTACTGGCTTTGGGGGTGTGGGGAGCACAAAGTTCACCCTGGTGAGCATCCTAAGCACCTCTTGTGTATGTTGCAGCCCATCGTAGTTACTGTGGGAGAAAGACTGTCACAGAACTTCCCAGGGAGGATGGCCGTCCCAGTGTACACGGGGAGTCACTGTGTGAGTACGCTTCCCTTCCACCTGCAGCAGTTGGTCTTGGAATGGCCCCAACCTGTGGTGATGCTGGCCAGCTGACCACAGGGATCAGTAGCCTGAGGGAGCTCAGCAGCCCCACTGGTTAGGATAGGCTGGTGTGGCTCTGGCTCAGTCCCTCAGTAGTAAGACCAAACCACCACCAGGTTGTATGTGCTGTGATATCTTTGGGTAACTGAGTTTCCTGATGTCTTCTATTTTGTATGTGCTGTTTTTTTGGTACCGGGGATCGAACTTGGGACCTTGGGCTTGCGAGGCAGGTGGCGGCACCACTGAGCTAAATCCCTGCCCCATTGTGTGCTGTTTTGATTGATGAAGTTTGCATATTAATCTATTACTTCACTGTTTGTCACTACCCCACAGGCGATGACTGTAAGGGGAAGAAGCACCTCGAGACACACACAGCCGCCCGCTGGCAGCCATCCAGGCCACACAGGGTGGTGGGGGCCATGGGGCACCTCTGCACCTTTGCAGGTTGTGTCTTGTCCCTTGTCTTTGTTGTTATGCCGTCACAGTGCTGCTGTCACTGTTTAATGTGTGCAGTTCAAGTGTTTAAAGCACTTTAATATAAAAGAGTAATATCAGGTGTGGCTTAGAATATGGAGACTCTTAAAAAGCTTCTTTGTTAGCTCAGTGTAAATTAAATACATGTGAAACTCAGAATTATTTGTGGTGATAGTAAAAGTTGAGCAAAGTCATGTTGCCCTCCTATGTTGGAGTGTGTTTGAGCAATAGCCGCTTGGCCACTTTGTGCACAGCAGTTGTACTTAGTGTCCCAGGAAGTGTATCTAAAGAAAAGCATGTGTTCCAGATCATACATGTAACTTTCCTGATAAAATGGACACCTTTTTCTGGCAGCTGTTGTTTAGCCTGAGCTTCAAAAATAAATGTCTCATAACTGTTAGTTAATAAATGTAAAGCAATTGGTTTTTTAAAAATCCTCCTAAGTTATATTTCTTTACATACTAGCCATGTAAGAGTGATTAATAGTTTCAGGGGTCAACATGCAGATGTCAAGTTACTGCAATACTTTGAGCACCTGCTGTGGAAAAAATGGACGGAATTTATTTCACGAGCAGCTTTCTGCCCTCCACAATGTGTGACATTCAATGCTGAGTTCGTTATCTTTCCAAAATACTCTTCACAGGAAAAGATGCATCTCTGCAATAATTTTCACTGTAGTCTCTTATGGACTTTTTTTTGGTACTGGGGATCGAACTCAGGTCCTTGCACTTCCGAGGCAGGCGGCGGCACCACTGGGCTAAATCCCCGGCTCACTGTAGTCTTTGAGTAATCATTTCTTACCCAGCACACCATGACTGCTGGCGTCTGGGGCATGTCAGTTTGTCTTAAACATTTGCATTATGTATCCAATGAGAATTCCACCAAGAACTAACTACCAGTATCTACAGGGCAGCTTGTAGCCACCACTCTTGGATTTTATGCAGGGTGATTGCATTTTTACCCTTTAGATATCTGCAGGCAGGGGTGAATGAAAACTATTTTATAATAGTAGGTTTTCATAACTATAAATTTCATCAAGCATCTTGCTTAGCCTTAAAATAGCACTCCCCCACATATTGGGGTGACTCCTGACTTTGTGACAGGAGGGAGTCTGGCACAGGGTGTGACTGTGAGACCCTGCTGTGTTGTCAGGTGAAGAGCTGGTGCTCTGAGGTCTGTCTGAAGGTACCCTCTTGCACACATCTTCTCTGTCGCAGGTTACTTCTTGATGCAGATGCTGCGAAGGGCCAGAGCTGCCGGATGGTTTGTGGCTGAGACAGTGTGGTCAGTCCTTTGGTTGGCCACTGTTGCTCCAGGTGGTTAGTCTGGTCATCTACATTAGCATTCTCTCCATCGCTTTTGGCAGCTAAGCACCTGTAATAAGCGATTTATCTAACCAATAAAACTTTCATTTCAGGTTCCCATTCTTTCATCTTTGATATAATGTGTGTTCATTCTTTATTTGGGATGCTAACACACACTGTGCTAGAGGCTGCATGAGTGTTCTCATTTCTCTGTTGTGTTGGGGTTTGTGTACATCTAGTTACTTGACTGTCATGTACACAAGGTGCATGGACCTGTTGCTTCCCTATCCCATGTCCTCGTCAGCACTGCATACTGCTCTCCTATGTGACTATAAGCCTCATTCTAGGCCAGTGCTCCCTAACTTCATCCTGAGCACTTCAGAAAACCTATCCAGGGATCTCCTTGTGCTTCTGGCTCAGCCTTCATGGAAACTATCGCCCTGGGGCTTGGTGGCATCGGCATGTTTCCTCGCAGTGCTTGGTTTTTTTCTCTCTTAGGGAAGGTGGCCTCTGGAGCACTCTGGTGGTTCGGGATTGGATGGTACCAGTTTGCTACTTTGATCTCTTGGCTGAATGTGTTTCTTCTTACAAGGTAAGCATGCTGATACCACATTAGCATGTTGTGTAAAAGAAAGAGTTTGTTCCAATTCCAGGCTTTTGTTTGCATTACTGTTTTATAGGGATGCAGCCTATACTTCCATAATGTTTTATTATTTGGTATGTTGATGTTTTACATTAATATATAATTTTATAGTTACAGAGTGTTTTCATGTTCTTAGTTTTTTCATACCAGCCTATAAGATAGGGAGGCAGGTACTATATTGTTAAGAAAAATGTGGGCTGGGGATTTAGCTCAGTGGTTCCACTGCCTGCCTTGCAGGCGCAAGGTCCCAAGTTCAATCCCTGGTACCAAAAAAAAAAAAGAAAAATGAAAGTGTGCAGTCATTCCAGCTGGAGGATCTGGTCAGATCCTGTGGCACCCAGGGAAACGGGTTCAAGCAACTGAGCCTTTCCGTGGCCACCAGCTGGCATCTTGTGTGCAGTGTCAGTGTTCTCTGTAGGAAGGTGCTCCTGTGGGCCTGTTCAGGCCTCTTAGATAGAACTATAACTGCATTTCTAATGTTTACTGTGGGGGTATTTTACATAAACTGCTGAGAGGGGAAAAGAGAATGTGTTCTATATTTCCCAATTCAAAGGTTTGCATTTTTATTCCTAGGTGCCTTCGAAATACTTGCAAATTTTTAATCTTGCTCATCCCACTATTACTCTTACTAGGTGAGTAAAATTGAGCTTAGTTGCCATCAATGATTGACATGTCTATACAGGTGACATCATAGGAATCAAACACTGACACTTGGGGAGCCTGGTGCATGCACATTTGTAGCTGTCTTCTCTCCTTCCAGGTGCAGGCCTCTCTCTGTGGGGTCAGAGTGATTTCTTTTCCCTTTTGCCTGTGTTAAACTGGACAGACATGCGTACAGCAGAGAGGGTGGATGACCCTAAGGACACATTCAGACCTGGGTCTTCTCACCTGCAGGTACTAATTTCTCACTGGCAACATTAAATGTAGTGTTCAGAGCAGGTTTCAGGTGACTTGTGGACAAGGCAGTTCAGTTGGGGATCTCTTTGAGAGAGTGGTTTATGTTTCTGTTTTTGTTTTGGGTTTTTGGTACCAGGGATTGAACTCAGGACCTTGCACTTATGAGACAGGCATGGTGCCACTGAGCTAAATCCTTGGCCCAAGAGAGTATTTTTAAAGTGTCAAGCTCCTCCAGTGTTCTGAAATAGCCCAAATAACGCATATTTAAATAGTCTCATTGTTCAGTTAGTTTTAATTTAGAGAGTAGCAGCCATTACTTTGCAAAATAGAGGCAGTGCGAAGAAGGAAATGAAGATCACTGTTAGTCCTCTCATGTGGTGAGGGTTTTGTGTGTCTCCCTCAAGTGTCTGTGTCCCCTGCCATTAGCACCTTGCACCAGGTTTCCCATGGTGTACTGAGACTTCCTGATTTCCTCTCAGGTTGATGGACAGGCTTCCTGGTGGCTATGGGAGAATGACATGAGGCAGCAGGTGGCTTCTTTTTCTACTCAGTGCCACAACCATGAGGAGAAGCTCAGGGAGCTGACGGTCTTACTTCAGAAACTGCAACTGCGGGTGGACCAGATGGATGAAGGCAGGGAAGGGCTGTTGCTGTGGATGAAGGATGTGGTTGGACAGCACCTGCAGGAGATGAGTGCTGCTGGATTCCGGGGCACCAAGGTAAGGCCCAGGAGTTTCTGGGAGAAATGCAGGCTTTGGCATCCTGTCCTGTGAATTGCCCCAGTCCACAGATTAGCTTTTGTAAATGCCTCAAGTGCAGTAAACAGAAACCTCACCTACACTTTGACTGATGCTCCCTGCACCATTTTGGTATATGTTTCCCTGTCAACATTAATTGGGAAAGGTGAGGTCCTGACTTAAAAGCACCTCAAGGTGAGATCAGTTCTAAGAGCAGTTGCTGTTCCCTGCCTGCAGTGCAGAGCAGAGCAGAACTGCTTCCTTGATCTCTTCTTTGAGCTCTGGCATGGTGCCCTGACTGTGCCTAAAACAGGCTTGGTTCTTCTGACCAGTGCCTCCCTATGCAGTGGCCTCAGTTGGGATGTCACTAACCCTGGGAATCATCCCATGGGGGATTTGCTCCAGGTCTGAGACCCACCTTCATCATCTCCACCTGAGATAGTGTCAGTGTTTGTCACTTTGTACAGGTGTTGTTTAATTTGCTTTCTTACACCTGGCAGGGACTATAAATAAAGAGTATGTCTCAGTTATGGTGTGGTATGTGGCACACGTCACTGACTCAAGGGTGCCCCAGATTGCCATGCATGCCTGCAAGTTTCATTCACTCAGAGAATCTTAGGTGTTGTGCTTTGGTTCCTCTGAGTTGCTTATTTGTAGTTTCTCAAACATAAATTGAAGCCAGGCATGGTGCATGCCTATAATTTCAGCTCTTGAGAGGCTGAGGCAGAAAAAGCATCGTGTGTTTGAGGTCAGCCTAGGCTACAAAGTGAGTTCAAGGCCAGTCTGGAGTACATAACAATATCCTATCTCAAAAAACCAAAAAATCAAACAAAACAAAAAACATAAATTGAGAGAATTTCAGTGAAATTTAATTAAGAGAGGTTGTTTTTTTGGTTTTGGTTTTTTGCAGTACTGATGATTAAACCCAGGGAGACACTACCACAGTGCCTATACCCTCAGGCCTTTTTTATTTTGAGGTAGGGTCTTGCTACTTTGCCCAGGTTGGTCTCAAATTTGCAGCCTTCCTGCCTCAGCTTCCCAAGTAGCTAGGATTATAGGCTTGTGCCACCATTCTTGTCCCATTCCTGTTGGCCACTTTTCTTTTTTAAGGTTAGGAGATTTTTTTTGGAAACAAAAAAGCCTCCTGGTTTCTCTAGGAGGGGATGCTGAAAAGTGGAATTTCTGTATGGCCCTTCAGTCCAGAACTTTCTATGAATAAGTGGACCATTTTTCTGTTTTGGATGGAATGAAGAAAGAGGGGTAAATTTGTACTTGGCTGTTTCTGTGCAGATGTGGCACAGCTGTAGAAAAAGTTGGAACTAGACCAGCATGGACATTGATGCTGGTTGAAGGGATAGCAGTGGAGCCCTCGTGGGGCCAGGTCACTGAATTCTGTCCCTGGAGGCAGGGTGGTTGCTTGGTGTTGACTGTCCCCAGAGAGCATGTTGTATAAAGTAAAGGCCGAGTGTCCGCACCTCGGGGACAGCACCCAGGTGGGCTGGCAACCTTCAGAATCATCTTGTTTTGTAAGGAAAATGGTTGATAATTGCTCAGAAACCCAAGAAAATAAGAAGTCATTTATAAATTTATAATTCATTTTTATAAACTAAACCATATTCACTCTGGTCTCATTTTTGTGTTGGATTCCACTACAAATGTAACTGATTCTTGTTCTATCGTTTTCCAACATTGACCCATCCTTGGGTATCATCCTAATGGCAATCCTGACTCAACTGCAGCATCTGGCTCCTAAGGCTCGCTTATGTTAAACATTCCAGTTGCCTGATAACTAGCAATCTGTGATCTCTCCTGGGCCACGGACACCCATTTATCTCATGTCTACCCTGTCTAATAGAGCATACCATGAGTTGCATATGGCTCTGTGAGCTGAAGTTAATGTTAAATGTTAAAGGTTTATAAGTGTAGTCTCTCAGGTGCACTCATGCATTTCAGGTACCCAGTGGCTGAGTGTGGCTGGTGGCTGCTGTGCTGGACAACCCAGGGCCAGGATGTGTGTCTTGGCTCATGGTTCTGTTGCATAACTCCACAGGAGACACTGGAAACTAGATTTGGGGCCAGCCTTTCTGTGGGTACCCACTTGGGTCATCTCTCCAGCTAGCTAGTCTTCACCCCTTTTCTCTGATTTGTCCCTGTCTTAGTCACTTTCTTGTCACTGGGACCGTACACCCACAACTTAGAGGAGAGGTTTACTTTGGCTTTTGGTTTTTAGAGGATTCAGTCCATAGTGGACTGGTTCCAAGACAGGAAGGGCATGGTGGAACGGTCTGGCAGAGAGCTGCTGCTTATGTCATGGTGACCAGGAAGCAGAGAGGGAAGGGAAGGAAGACAGCCTTCTGGGTCATGCCCCCAATGACCTACCTCTTCTGACTAGGCCCCGCCTCCTAACACAAGTGAGCTATAGTGCCCCCATGATTCAATCACCTTCAAACACTTGAGGCTTTTGGGGGGCATTCTGGATCTAAACCATAACAGTCCCATTTCTGATCTTAATTTTTAGGTGAACTTTTATATTATGAATCACTTTGGTCCTTTTTTCTTCCTCATTTGCCCTCATTTCTCTCCTGGGCTCAAGAGCCCAGGGTGCAGGTCTTGTAACATGGACCATGGTCATTTTGAACATGCAGTGCCAGTCTCTGCCTGGCTGCTTTTTGCTAGACTGTGCCCATTCTTGTGCAATCATGATGCTATTTCTAAACATTTCCAGGGAATGTATCTAATCTTAAGTCATTTTGCTGTCTTAAAAATTGCTAAAGACATTAGTTGGACCATACTGTTTCTAGCAGGTTGCCTATGTTCAAAACATTTTGTGGGGCCGGGAATTTAGCTCAGTGGTTCCACCACCTGCCCCGCAAGTGCAAGGTTCCGAGTTTGATCCCCAGCACCAAAAAAAAAAAAAAAACCACTTTGTGGTTGGCTCATTTGGTACTTTGTTGGTCATGGGCCTTACTGAGCTGGAAAGCCACCTGCCTAGTCACATTTTTCATAAGTTACACAAAACACTTTGCAAATGTTTTGAAGAAGTGTTCTAATGGGAAATGTGTGATGTGAATGTGAAAGAATCAAGGGGGGAATACGTGTATCATGTATCTTTACCGATGGCTGAGCCAGGGACTTAGCTTAGTGGTTCTGGTACCTGCCTTCCCAGCCCCAGGTCCCAAGTTCGATCCCCAGTACCAAAACAAAAACAAAAAACCAATGGCTGTTTTCCTTTTAAATCATTAAATATAATGGCGGGTACCTACTAAATCTTTGTTGAATGAGTTGATTTGCTTCCTACCTAGAGTGTTTCCAAGTACTGTATTTAGAGTACTTCTGTGTCACCAGAAAAGGTATATGTGCAGTTTCACTCAGGTCTAAGATCCCTAGGGCTAGAGAGATAAGGCCATCATGAAGGGAGGACTCCATGCTATGCTGCATGGTAACTACATAGTCGCTGGCTTTTTGGTATTCTGGTGGAAGTAACATGCCCTAACTTGCTGGTTTTTGTTACGTAATTTTCTCTCCTGTTTGTTCATTTATTTTGCTTTCTCAGACTGACTTTATGACTTATCACCATGAAAATGAAGTGCGTCTCTCAAACATGGAAGATATTCTTAGAAAACTGACAGAAAAATCTGAGGTATTTATTCTTCACCTTAGAATTGTAGCTCCCAACAAAGTGCTTTTTTTCATAATAAAATAAAAATCAAAACAAATTTAAAAATCAAGTATAATTAATATTTTCAAAAGTTCTTAGCCACAAATATGCTTTCTTTTGGGGTATTTGCTATTGTCTTTTATAAAACTAAAAATTGTTCCCGACCTTTTTCCCCATGGCTGTCCACTTAATTTCTTGATGGTTGATCTGGCTCCTGTGTTGATGGGGATGAAGGATGCTTTTGGGGGGCGGGGGGACTGCTCTGCTGGTTCCGGGTGGCTTCTGGATTCACATTCAGACTGCTGTACCCCCCGCCTTTTCTTGGGTGTCACATAGCCTTCACCAAAATTACGCAGTCCGGAGGGGGAATGAACCTTTGTGGGCAGTTAATTGTGCGTAGGAAGGTCTCTCGCTGTCTGCTGCGGCAGAGCTGGGATTTTGCAGTGATCTGAGCTGCAGGGATTGTGGGTACTTACAGGTCTCCGATATGTCTAGGGTGTAGTATTGTAGTATGGAACCTGGCATGGCAGACACTAATGTTTTACTGAACTAAATCAAGTACCATACCTATGGGTTTGTGGGAGTGTGGCCCCTTGGGAGTCTCAGGATCAGCTCTTGGGCTACAGATCCTGTTTGAGTGAGTTCCGGTGAGTTCAGCAGAGGAGAGGGAGCCCGCCTTACCCTGTGCTGTAACGAGAGGACCTCCACACAAGCTTGGGACTGGGCTGCCATGCCCTTAGCCTAGCACTGCCACATGGTGCCTCTGGACATCCATGTTCAGATGGCACGGCCTTGGTGTGACTTTCCTTTGCCTTGACTGTCCTCGTGGGCAGCTTCTTTTTCTCAGCCTAGGTGCTGCTCATTTGGAAAAGTGTGCTTTGAAAATTGAAAGCCAGGGCTGGGGATTTAGCTCAGTGGTTTTGCTGCTTGCTGTGCAAGCACAAGGACCCAAGTTCGATCCCTGGTACCAGAAAAAAAAAGAAAAAGAAAAATGAAAGCCAACTAAAAGTCAGATCTGGACTCTGAATTAAGAGGAGGAGCGCTGGGGATTTAGCTCAATGGTTCTGGCGCCTGCCTCGCAAGCACAAGGTCCCAAGTTTGATCCCTGGTACCAAAAAAAAAAAAAAGAGGAAAATTCATAATAAATATATATAGTTTCAGATTAATCAAATACATGATTCTGTGAAGTTAGTGTGTAACTTCTGTGTTTAACAGAGGTTTCTCATGCTTTCCAGGCCATCCAGAAGGAATTAGAACATATGAAGCTAAGAACAACCAGGTAGGATGATTCAGATCATTCAGTAGTTTGTTTCCTGCGTTTCCCTCTCTGGCTACCTGGAGCAGTGCGAGTCATTGGCAAGGGTGCTGTTAGCATCCACATGTTACTTGAAGTCATTGGCCTTTGTGTCTTTCTGGGGATAACCCCTTTGGGGCCATCTGAAGACAGAGGTCCTGGGCTACATGCAGCAACCCCTCCTGATGCAGTGTGTACAGGCCCTACTTTGCCCCAGGAGCTTTGCTCTTGATGTCCTTGGAGGGCCACCCTCAGGGGCTCATGTCATGGGAGTCCTGTGCCTGGCCTCCAGTGGCATCACTGTGTCTCTACAGACTCTGAATAAAAGTGCAGCTGCCGGGGCCGGGGATTTAGCTCAGTGGTTCCACCACCGGCCTCGCAAGTGAAAGGTCCCAAGTTCGATTCCCAGTACCAAAAAAAAAAAAAGTGCAGCTGCTGTCCCTGTAGTTTGGCAGGTCTTATGAAGGCCAGCCATTCTGCTCTTAAAATCAGCCCCCAGCCACCACCTCACCATAGCTTGCAGCTCCTGTGGATCCATCCGCTTGCCTGAAGCTCCTCAGATGCAGCTTCTTGCCTAGATGTTCCCAGAGCTGCATCTCCCCTCCATTCCCTTGGTGCTGTCTACACAACCAGCTCCCACCACTTCTGGGTCTCCATAGTATGGCTTTAGCTGCTATGTTCCCTGTAATTTCCATGGCTGCTCTCAGAACTGTGGAGAAGGCTCTCACTAATTGAAAGGCAGCAAGCATGTGCTCTCCCTCTTGCTCTGGGTGAATTGGCAAGCCTACATCCCTTATGCGGCAGTGTGAGTGCTGGGACAGTTTCACCCCAGAGCTTTGATTCTGGGGAAGGTTGTTTTGATGTGCCAGCACACAGAGCCCAGCACGTTTGTCCAGGAGAGTACTGATTCAGTAGGGCTTCTTAGTATTTCAGCGACTGTCTATTAGGGTATTTATAATTATGGTACCTCCATAAACTGGGGTCACTACCAAAGTCCTGAAGCCCTGTGCTTTCAGTGTCTGTCTCTTCCATTGGCATGTGTGCACTCAGCTTGTCATGGTTGCTGATGAATGCTGTCTCATTTCTAAAGTCTTGTGTGTGTGATTTTAAGGAAACACTTTTCAAGCCCTAAATAGTTCTCAGAGAGCTCATTCGTCTCCTGAACAGATGGCCCCTGCTGATAGCTCTCTGGTAGGTGTGTCTGTGCATTGGGGCCGCCTTGGTGACCTGATGCAGAGAAGAAACTCTGCAGGGCTACCATTAAGATGCACATGTACATCTCTTTGCTGGGCTGACTCACCCTGGGTGGGGCAGGTTCCCCTTGTGCATCTGGGTCTTGACTTGTTTCTTCCTCCGCTCGGTGGCTGATTCCAGTGGGGCAGAGGAGCAGCCCCTCCTGCTTCGCATGGAGCGCCTGGAGCAGGAGCTGGGCCTCCTTCGGTCACAGTTGTCGGGCTGGCAGCAGCTAAAGGCCGGATGTGAGAAGGTGGGTACAACATGCAGAGCCCACATTGTGTTTGGCTCCCGCTTTTCATAGTAGAAAGTAGGAGAAAATGGAACCAAAGTTATCAAGGTGTTTACTTTATTTATTCATTCATTCATTTATTTTTGGAACAAGGTCCCACTATGTAGTTCATACTGGCTTTGAACTCACTTTGTAGCTAAACTGGCCTCCAACTTGTAGCACTTCTCCTGTCTCAGCCTCTCAAGTGCTAGGATTACAGAAGTATGCCACCATGCCTGTCTTCAAGGTGTTTAATTTCAACTTAATTTTTTTTAATGAGTGGGCAGAAATGTGTCACATTACATTGTACATTTTACAAAGATGAAGGCTACTACTGAGATATCTTAAGACAAGTGTGGAAACGGGCTAATTACAACAATAAATTCTCTTGTTTCTCGATGGTGCTGCCAGGTAGATGCTCAGGTCAAAGAAACCGTCAGGCTCATGTTTTCTGAGGACCAGCAAGGTGGTTCCCTTGAGTGGCTGCTGCAGAAGCTGTCTTCACATTATGTGAGCAGGGATGACCTGCAAGTCTTGTTACGGGACCTTGAGCTGCAGGTGCTAAAGAACATCACCCACCACCTGGTAGTAACAGGACAGAAGCTGACGTCTGAAACTGTGGTGTCTGCTGTGAGCGGGGCAGGGATTTCTGGAATCACAGAAGCGGTGAGTGGGTGATAAAACAGGTTTAGCCTCCGTGTTGTGGTGAGACTGATGCCTCGGTGTCCAGCTGGTGGGCCGTGACATCTGGCCCTGAGTGTGGCTCCCAGGCCATGGCCAGCCTTGAGCAGGGACTGCAGGACAAGCTGAGCATGAGGCCACTGAGTCAAGGCACCACTGTTGTCAATGTCACAGCAGGCTGCTCCCTGAAGTACTGCATAGTCTCTGAATATTTTTGTCCCAAAGATCTCCTCTACCTGTGCTACAGCATACTGAGATGATACAAAAATTTTCAATCATACACAAATTCCCAGAGATCCCCATGTTATATAGTCCCACTCATGCTGATGGCACCCAGTTCATACAGAGACCTACTGTGACATGTCTGAGCCCTGGTTCGGTGACACATCATCTGGGTGCAAGACTGAGAGGGGAGCTGGCAAAGCAGCCCATTGCTGTCACCTCAGTTACATTAAGTCTCTAGTCTTTGTTTATATCACTAATGTCAGTCTCTTCCCTTTTTCCCTGGCATTGTGCTGCTTTTTTCCATATCTATCCAGCAAGCGCGTGTCATTGTGAACAATGCTTTGAAGCTGTATTCCCAGGACAAGACTGGGATGGTGGACTTTGCTTTGGAATCTGGTGGTGAGTAGACACTGAACCCCAAGTAGAATGGTCACCTCAGGTGGGCAGGAACTTGAGAAGTGGTCAGGAGCATGCCGGAGTGTCTCCAGGCTCCTGTATGAGCCCAGGTACTTCCTTCCTGGTCAGTGCCTTTTGAGCACAGATCCCAGGGGTGCTGGGTACACTGGCCTGTGGGTTGAACACCAGAGCCCAGGTGGGGACACTGTCCCCAAGGGTGGTGTCTGCCTGGTCACCAAGTGCATGGCAGGACAGGGTTGTGCGGGGTGTTATTTTGGCTCCCAGAAGCTGTGGTCCGTCAAGTCTCACAGTCACAGCCGTGGGTCCACCTGTGCTGGTCCTGGGTGTGGGGCTATACATCCTGGGGAGGCACTGAGTTCCTGCAGAGACCACCCAGACCACACGGGTCAGTTTAGGAAGGGCTTTGCCACCACTTGGTTTTTTGCATTGTTAAGACTTAGGAATTGCAGGCAAAGGCTGCTGGACAACACCATCTCCTGTAAGACAAAGGGATTTTGCATACTGCTAAGGTGCGGGAGGGCTGGAGACCTGTGAGGGGACAGTCTGTTTCCCTTCACGAGTCCCAGTTGAGGAAACAGGAGTCTAGTTCCACTGCTCCTGGCACGGCTGGTTCCATCCAGGCTTTCACCATCTCATGGGGTTCTGATGTGGACAGTGAGCCCCCAGTCAGAAAAGCCACCAGCCCTTCCAGTGCCAGGCAGAAGTCAGTCTCTTGATGTTTTCAGTGTGTGACTTGTCTAAAATGACTTTTAGGGTTTTGAATTGAGTTACACCTTTTGAAATTTAGGACTCAGGAAGAGATTATTTTCAGTTCAGAGGCATCAAATGACATTTTACCCACATGGTGGCCGCTGACAGTTGTTCTTTGCTTTTGGCACCATGTGGTCCAGAGTTGAGAACCCTGATGCTGTGTGGAGCTGTTCCCCTCTGCCCACTGTGTTTGAGAGGCTGTCCTTAAGAATGAGATAAGACTCTTAAACTTTTTGTTTGTTTGTTTGTTTATGAGACAGAGTCTTGCTTAATTGCCCAGGCTGGTCTCAGACTCGCCATCCTCCTACCTGAAGTCTCACGGTAGCTATTACAGGCTTGCACCACTGTGCCTGGCTTCTGTCTTTGGGGGAGGGGGGTGGGGTAGTTTTTTGAAACAAGGACTTGTTATATAATCCATGCTGGACTCAAACTCTTGGCAGTCTTCCTGCCTCAGCTTCTCAAATGCTAGGAGCACAGGCATGTACCACCATTTCTGACTATTTTAAAGTGTGGTGCTCTTCAGTTGTTAGTATTTATCACAGTGTTGTGCAACCATGAGCATTTATTCCAGAGCATTCCTGCCTGTCTCTGTGCAGCCATGCCCTGCTCCCCAGCACTTCTACTTTTGTTGGTAATTGTCATAGTATTGTCTCACTTCAGCCTGTTAGCCCTCTAAGAGCTCACCCACTGGACAGTACCAGTGCTGGTGAGTTTGTGATTCTTGATTCAGAAAAGTGAACAAAGGTCTGCTCAGAGCAGCTGCCCCTAGCAATCACATACTACTAATAACAGGATTTTGAAAAGTGTGAGTTAGTAGGAGGAGGTTAATCAGTAGAGCTTAAGCTCCATTAGGTGGAATGAGAAGTTCTGGTGTGCTGCTGCACTGTAGGTCACTAGAGAGTGACCCCGTACTGGCTTTCTCTGAAAGCAAGACAGTGACATTTCAGCTGTAAAGAAGAGACACATGTTTGAGGATAGATACGTTTACCCTGATTACACAGGGTGTACACTAGCCAGCCATCACATGGCGCCCCATTCACATGTGCAGTTTTGTTTTTAAGTCAGGAATTCTTTGTACAAGTAAAAGCTTGAGAAATCAAGACAATGAGTTGGCCCTTGTGGACTTGAGTGCTGACACACGTCACTCTGTTCCAGGTGGCAGCATCCTTAGCACTCGCTGCTCCGAGACATATGAAACCAAGACAGCATTGCTGAGCCTGTTTGGGATCCCACTGTGGTATTTCTCTCAGTCGCCCCGTGTGGTGATCCAGGTAAGCAGATGGATTCCTGTCCCCAGTCCTGCGCATGTGCTGTCACACATCACTTTGACTGCCGCACAGGGCTGAGCCCCTCCCCCGCCCTGCCAACCTGGCCAGGGCGCTGTTGGGACTGATGTACTGATCTGATGCATTTTTCCTCCTTATCATGGTAAGATATACATACAGAAGGGTGTACGAGCCATCAGTGGCAGCCTAGTGGAAGTTGGAAATGTGAGCACTTCTGTGGCACAGGGCCAGGACAGGCAGCTCATGTCCCAAGGGCCCATCTGCTCCCATCCCGGCAGTGCAGCATTCACCCAAGGCTCCTCTGGGTTAATCGCCATCTGTGATCTTCCTTGTTGTACAGCATTAGCTGATCTGGGAGCTGCCGGTCCTCCTCCAGTGCCCTTGACCACTGCCCTCAATGCACCACTGCTTTTCAGGGCTTTATTTAATACCAGGAATTGTATTCATCGAAAGGATTGGTGCGTGGTGAGTTTAAATTATCACCCACATCCATTTCTAGCTCACTATTCACATGTTAACTATTACTCATGACAGTTTCTTGAAGAAACTTCCAGTAAGGTCATTTTATGTGAGATTTCCACAGATAGCTGTCGTTCCCTTAAACACATTTCACACCGTAAGATGAGCACTACATATGAGTAAACCTAAGCCTGGTGTGGTACAGGCCTGTAATCCCAGCACGGGGGTGGTTGAAGCAGGAGGATTGTGGGGTCGACACCAGTCTGAGCTACGTAGCAAGACTCTGTCTCAAAAAACAAACAAAAGTACAAGTAAACCTAAAATGTAGGATTCTTCTGGTTACAGCAGTGGTTCCCACAACTCCCTCCTTGGGCTTGGTGAACTTTACGGGAATGGCTCACAGGATTCAAGGGACACATTTACTGGTTTATTACAAAGTGTACTAATGAAGAGATGTCCAGGTGAGGTACAGGAGGGACCCAGAGCTCTTCGGCCCCCTGCAGTGCCATCCTATGTGAACCTGTGTGGCCAGCTGGCTAGAAGTGCCTCCAAACCCTGTCCTTTGGGGTTTTCTGGGCCTTCCTGACATAGACATGATTGACTATATCACCAGCCACTGGTGGTCCACACACCCTTTTCCTGGATCTGAAAGTCCCAGTGCTCTGGCCCTGTTTCGGCTCTGGTGACAAACCCACCCTGAAGCTACCCACTGACTCTTCAACACACAAAAGACACTGTGCCTTCAGAGTCTAGGGATTTAGGAGTCATATGCCAGGAAATGGGGTGGAGACCAAGTACTGGCATGTGCTTCACAGCATCCCACCCTGCTGCTTTAGTTTGCATTATTATTATGTAAGGCGGAAAGATCTTGTCACAGGTTCCAGGACCAGTTTAGTTCCCTGTGAAGAGTGTTTGTATATCTTTAAGTTCTGCTTACCTTACTGTTTGTTACCAGCTGAGGTGTTAAGAGTGGTTTCTGGAGGCACACACTGCAAGCACCCAAATGCTTTGATTCTGTTTTTGCAAAAGTTCTTTTCTTTTTCATTTTCCAAATAATCAGTTTTCTCTGAACATTCCTATTTTGCTAGTGGTTAAGAGCTTGTTCAAACTCTTGAGTCTTAGTATTTTGCTTTTCCCTAGCCTGATATTTACCCAGGTAACTGCTGGGCATTTAAAGGCTCCCAGGGGTACCTGGTGGTGCGGCTGTCGATGAAGATCCACCCAACCATGTTTACTGTGGAGCACATACCAAAGACACTGTCACCGATGGGCAACATTTCCAGCGCCCCCAAGGACTTTGCGGTCTATGTGAGTGCACCCAGCTCTGGAGACAGCGTGCGTGCCTATTTCCCTTGTAGGAACGTCCCAGATGGTTCAGAAGCTAGTGGCTCCAGGCCTAGGGAGTGGGGCAGCTCTCTGCCTCCTCTCTCTGCCTGTCCACACACCAAGTGAGTAGATGCAATGCTTAGGGGACCTTCCAGTACTTCTCCAGAAAGGGCTGCTAGGAGCAGTGTCACAATTGGTGTCCAGTTCCTGTGCTGTGCTGACTAGCAGATGAGGTTAGATGTTCTGACATCTGCTGCAGTGTGAAACAACCAAATGACAAAAGATAAAGCAAACTTTTTCTTACTTTTAAAACATACAGAAATGAATATAGAATTTTAAAAAGACACCCATCACCCCAGTTCTTAGAGAAAGCCACCATGATGGTTGTGGCAATTTTGATCCCTTTTTTTTCTTTTTTTGAAGATATAGCTGAATCTGTACTGTTTGTAAAACTTGGTTTCCTGGGCCGGGGATTTAGCTCAGTGGCTCCACTGCCTGGCTCACAAGCACAAGGACCCAAGTTCGATCCTCGAACCCTGGTACCCCCCACCCCCCAAAAAAAACCCCAACTTTGTTTTTTGCCTTAAAAAACACAATTTTAGAGCCCGGGGATTTAGCTCCATGGTTCTGCTCCCTGCTTTGCCAGTGCAAGGTCCTGAGTTTGATCCCCAGTACCAAAACAAAATTTTGCTGAGCGTGGTGGCACACATCTGTAATCCCACCACACAGGAGGCCAAGGCAAAATGATCGCCATGAGTTTGAGGCCAGCCTAGGCTATATAGTGAGTTCAAGACCAACCTGAACTGCATGTTGGTAGAGTGAGACTCTGTCTCAAAAAAAGAAGTTTATGTGGTGGGGAAGTGTGCCTGTCTTGGATCTCCTTCCCGGAATTTGTACCCTCCCCTTGGAGGAGTTGTGTTCAGTCCTATCTGCTCATGGCCCAGGATTTCCTCTGCAGCACTTATGAAACCTAGAAAGCCCTTAACCATCATGAAGCAAACATTGAGGTAGTTCCCTTTATCATTTGTGTTTTATTGTGAGTATATATAACAAAGTTCATTATCTTAACCATTTCTACCTAGTGGTCTTAGGCGCCATCACACTTGTGCCATCCTCACCAACATTCGCTCCAGAACTCCCTCATCTTCCCTAACAAGCCTCACACCCCTGAAGCAGTTCACAGCCCCCACCTTCTGTCCATTATCCAGCTGATGCCCTCCAGGCTCGGGTGTTCCCAAGTTCCCCCTGGAACAGTGAGGGCCATGAGTGAATGTGGTCTGCCCTAGATGCAACCACATCTGGCTGCTTGTGAGTCTAGGTCCTGCCTGCCTTGCAGCTCACATGGAGAAGAGGTCCCCTTGCTCAGAACAATGAGTCTTCCCTGGTTCCTGGTGTTATTTTTTGTTTACTGACTATGTGGTCTTGGTTTCAGGGATTAGAAAATGAGTATCAAGAGGAAGGGCAGCCCCTGGGACAGTTCACATATGACCAGGAAGGGGAGTCACTCCAGATGTTCCAGGCACTGGTAAGGACCCGACCCACCTGTCTCTGTCAGCAGGAACAGGCTGTCTAGAGGAGCTGGAGGGTAGCCAGTTTCTCTGGGAGCTGTGCAGATTCTGAGTAGTCCATGGCTAGTCAAGGGTTCTCAGGGTCTCAGCTGGGCTTCCTGTCCTGAACTGTGTAATGTGTTTAGAATTTTAGTTTCTAGTGTGGCTGCTTCCTTCCAAATACCCACTAGGGGACAGATGGGGCTCGGGGCTACTGATCTGAAATAAATGTGGTTCCCCCTCATTTCAGGAAAGACCTGACAAAGCTTTCCAGATAGTGGAGCTTCGGATCCTGTCCAACTGGGGACACCCCGAGTATACCTGTCTCTACCGGTTCCGAGTCCATGGCCAGCCCGCCCAGTAGAGAGGCACTCCCTAGTTTGTACAGTTTGTATATACCAGGACCTCAGAACACTGGAACCCTTCAGGGATGAGGGCATGCATGGAACAGAGGGACTCCTCACCCCCTCAATAAATGTGGCATGGCAGCAGGGAATGTTGACTTAGTCTTGGAGCCACATCTGTGGTCCATAGAGTCAGCAGTGGGGTCTCTGGAAGCTCATTTGAATGTATGGTTCTCAGACACTCATTTGTTTGGGGGATTTGTTTTTGAATGCAAAGCTCTTTATATTTGTACTTCCTGACATTGTAGCAGAGCAGATGGAGTTGAGAGGTTTGATATGTTCTTGAAGCTCAACAGAATCTTGGGAGGGCAGACCTACTCCGTCTGTTAAGCCCACACACGTTTCTTTCAGGGAAAACTGTCACCTAGCTTTCAGTTGGGACCCCTTCCCTTGGCTCATCTCCTGGTCCCTGGTGCCCAGGTGGAAGGCCTGAAGAGTGCCCCGGGCCTAGTTTGAGTAGAGTTAGGATTCACTATGCTGACACCACAGAGGAAGGCGAGTGGGTGTGTCTACACTGAGGGTCAGAGTCAGTCTGATGAGCACTAAACTTGGGCTATGAGGGCACAGTGTGTGCAGGAACCAGGACTCCTGGCCCTCTGGTGTCCCCCAAGGGATGTTCTGGTCCTGTTAACAGGAACACTAAGGTGCCGACTCCCTGCGGCTGCTTCTGCTCCATGTGGTCACCAGGGAGCTGTCTTCCCTACAGCAGCACTTTGGGCAGCTCTTGGAGTCTGCCTTCCATTGCTGCTGCCAGCATTCTCACTTGGTTTTGTGAGACTTGTTTTGGTTATAATTAATATTTAATGTGTAGACTATTTTATGAGCAGACTTTATAACAGATATCTACAAGGCACTTAAAAGTGTTAATGGATGTTTTACCTATATTTAAGTCTCATTGGTCAAGACACTTGGCATTCCATCACTGCTGTACTTTCAGAAAACGATAACGGTGGTGCTCACTGGTTTCTAGGGAGGTTTGTGTATGTTGCACACAGTCCCAAATACCTCTGCTACAGGAGGCAGCGCTCCTGCTCCTTAGGACTGGGACTGAGGCGTGTGCAGTTAGGTCGGGTAGGATGTGTACAAACATTTCATATACTACAAATCACATATATGTCAAAATTTCCTATATAAAACAAATTTGGGGGTTGGGTGGAGATATTTGAATATTTATTTTTAAAGATGCGACATAGGACTTTGTGCAATGTATTTTTGTAAATGCTTTTCAAAATATGTCTTTGATAGTGTTTTGTTTGCTTCCACCAAATTGATAAATGCTATTGAGATGTTTAAATAAAGAGTTTTAATTTTTAAAAGTGCATGTGATATTTCAAATGAATAATAAACAGTGTATTTCTTTTCTCAGTTTTTTCTGTCTGTGCCCACTGGGGAGTGGGGAAGGACAAGTAGTCTGCATGCGCTCTCTGAAGCTGGCGTCATTGGCCCTGCCAAGGCTTGCAACCATGGGTTCCTGGACACCTCCTCCTGCTTAGCAAGTCTGCTTGTAAAAGGGACTGCAGGGTACATAAGACTGTGCCCCCACACAGCTGGGGGTGTCACTCAGTGATACCTGACCCTGGGTTCCATACCCAGCACTGCAAAAAACAAAAACAGAAGTATCCAGTGAGACAGTTGGGAAGAGAAACTGGGTCTTCCCACAGTGGCCTTTGGTCTGGGCCTCAGTTACTCAGGTAGGTGCTGGTGCTGGTTCACTAGCAAGCTGCCCTGAGGACTTCTGCCCTTGGGGCACAAGCTTTTACCAAAACGGCAGTGCATTTACCCCAGTGTGATACTATTTTTTCCAGTGATCAAGTATCTGTTGGGGGGTCTCATCTCAATGAAGAACTCTAACAGCTTTGGTTCCCGTTGTATACATGGGTGTATCATGTTGTGTTAATAAGCAATTCATAATCCAAGCTGCACAGTATTCTGAGATGAGGCTCCCGGACCGTCCATCCCACCCAAAGTGAATACCCATGTCCTCTGTGTTCTGGGCTGTCAGATTGTTTTTTTGTTTTTCGGTAGCGGGGATCGAACTCTGGACCTTGCACTCTCGTGGCAAGCGGTGGAGCCACTGAGCTAAAGCCCCGGCCCCTGTCAGACTGTTTTGATCACAGGCTGGTGCTCAAGTGACGTCAGGCTGCGACACCAGGCAGAGCTACGTTACGCAACCTCCCGCATACACAATTAGGAAAGCGTGTTTTCTCGTTGTATGAACCGAGTTCCACGTAGGTAGCAGCGCGGCTCCTGAATTCCCACTTCGGCTCTCTGCACCCCCAGTACCTCCACCACACAGCTGTCACCAGGGATCGCGGGGCTGACTGAAGAGTCCTCATCCCCTAACAATGGCCCAGAGAGCCCGGCGTGCCCTGCTAGGGACCCCGCTGGAGGCCTCCAGAAGGAAGAGCTGCAGGCTGCTCAGACGTCCTAGAAACGTTATTACAATACTATCAGAATGTTAAGTCCCTGGGGCCGGGGCAGCTGTCGCGCCCGCCATGACGCATAGGCCACCCGCCACCCCAGCTGCAGGCTCACCTCCATCTCCCCGCCCTGAGGTCACGTGCCCTCCGCTTTGTGGAGTGAGCGTCACGTCCGGGCTCTTGGTCCAGTCCCGACTACGTGCCCGCTGTAGGCTCCGCCCAGGGAATAATCCTTCGCTCGGCTCACACTGCCTCTTGCAGGCTCCGCCCAGGGCACATAGGTCGCCCTCAGCTCCGCCCAGAGGATGTGGCCCCACCCGCTTATGCGGTCGCCCGCAGGCTACGCAGCCCAGCCCCTGGTCACGTGCCACAAACCAGCCCCCCCCCCCCGAGTGCGCAGGGCTCCTCGCGGCCACCGTAGAGGGCGTCCAGAAGCCCCTGGGACGGAAGCCGGGAAGCGCCGCCGACCGCGCCTGCGACAGCGTCAGCCTCGCGCGGAGCGCCGGCCCATGGCGGCGGCGGCGGCGGCGGCGGCGGCGATGGCGGAGCAGGAAGGCGCCCGCAACGGCGTCCGCAACCGCGGCGGCGTCCAGCGCGTGGAGGGCAAGCTGCGCGCCAGCGTCGAGAAGGGCGACTACTATGAGGCGCACCAGATGTACCGGACCCTCTTCTTCAGGTGGGCGCGGGCGGCAGCTTGCGCTGAGGCCCCGCCCCCGCCGCCGCCGCGCATTGGCCGTGCTGCGGCACCCCGGGAGCTCACTGGCTCTTGCTGCTGCCTGTCGCAGGCGGCTGGAGCGGGGGCGGCTGGCGGTGAACTGTCGACTCGGCCTCTTCTTTTCGTGGCCTCCCCTTCTCCGCCCGAGTCTCCTGTTCTGCAGGCTGCCCACCCGTGGCTAGGCCTCTTCCTTCCCAGCCTTTTTTCCCCGGGGCCAGGCTCTTTCTTGGCATCTTCTTCCCCAGCCTGGTCTCCTTCGGCCCCTACTTCCCAGTCCAACCTTCCACGACCTTACCGTCTTTGGCCGTGCTGTTTCCTTCCCGGCTTTCTCTTCCTGGGGCTAGCCTCTGCTTTCCGTTTTCTCTTTCCTTGGCCTGGTCTCTTCAGGCCTCCCTTCCCCAGCCCAACCTTCCCTTCCCTGGACCAGTCTCCTTCTGTGGGTTCCCCATTATTGGCTTGGCCTTCTCTTCTCCAACCGCCTTCTTCCTTTGGCTTCTCTTCTCTAACCCAGTCTCGCCGCCTAGCTCTGCCACCTCCACTGCTTTTCTCTTCCCCAGCCCAGCCTCCATCTTCCTTGGTCTTCACCTCCCCAGCCCAGTCTACCAGCCTCAGTAGATGTTAACTGTATCTCCTCTAGTGGACTTATGGGTGTTAGTCTTAGATCACCGTCACCTGGACTGTGTTTAGGAGGGCGATCCTGCCCTGTGCCTTTGTCCCGACTGCAGGACGCCTGCTGCGGGGTTCAGTGTCAGAGCTTTTGGGTCCAGCCTTTCCTCCATTATTTTCCTCCATTTAACAACCCCCCCCCCTTAAAAAAAAAAAAAGACAGTTTTTAAGAGCAGTTTTAGATTCACAGCAAAATTCCATATGGCCTGCACAAACTGCACAGCCTTACATAGGTCAGTGCCGCCGCCCCAGTGCTACATTCCACTTACCCATTGCATCACCCAGGGTCCTCCAGCATGGTGGGACATTTCCCATAGGCACTTCCGTGGGCCTCCTCCTGGTTTGGTGTATTCTGAGGACAGGTCAAAGTTTCAGGGACGAGTGTCCACTAGCACATGAGAGTTCACTGCCTGGAGCTTTATAAGCACAAGTCAGATCATCTTGAGTCTCTGTAGGCCATATCTCTTGGTGTTTGGGGTGGGGGGAAAGGGTACTCATTTACATTTGGGGTCTGCAGAGTTAAGAGATCCCCTGGCAAGCAAATGAGGGAGTGGACACAGAAAGGATGCTGGGTCCCAGCTGAGTGTGGGAGTCACCATCCTGGAGGGCTGTGCACTGTCCTTCCCAGAGCAATGCCCTGTGCTAGGGGTGGGAGAGCGCCTGTGTCAGGCCCTTGACCTGACCACCGCAGGTCTGGGAGAAAGCCCTAACATCCTGTTTTCAAAGATTGTCCGTTTGTTCTTAGACCTCTGATTTGGCCAGGATTAGGGGCCCAGGGTTTAGAGTCACTGACTGTAGGATTAGGTGAGATATTTGTCGATGTCCTGATCTCAAGTGACATGAACAGCAGTATTGTTCTGGAATTTTCCTTGTACTAAACCCTGACACTGTAAATACAAACCAGTCAGGCTGTGTCTGGGTTTATGTGGTTTTATGAATGCCTTCTTTTTTGGAAGCTTAGTTAATTGCTTTAGAAAAAGACTTGCTCTTCTATTTAGTTAGAAACTGATTTTTTACTTCTAGCAGAAACAAGTCCGTCCTGCTACATAGTTAGGACTTTTAGTTTTAATGGAAGGCAAGCTGTCGCTGGACATAAACTTCCCAGAGCCCTGGTCATGACAGCCCCTTAAGTCTGCCAGTTCCAGCAGGAGCAAGTCTGAGATGTGAGGTGCGTGTGTTGACTGTAGCACCACGCCTCCCAACAGCAGCCAGTTGTAACTCCAGGTGTACTTTGCCACCCTCACAATTTGCCCTGGTGTCTGCTATTTTTGGGATTTGTGTATAAATATTTGCCCAGTGATTAATCAGCAAAAGTGGGTCTTCCCAAAATAAACAAAGTGTTCCTTGACTTAAAGTAGCCCTTCTGTGACTAGGGATTTGCTTATTTTAGCATTTAAGTGACAAATCCCTTGGTTGCGGGTGTGTTTCAGCACAAAACAGGGTAATGGAGAAGTTCTGCCTGTTTCACTGCCTCTGGCCTGCGCTTCCCTGGGAAGTTGTCACCTCACTGTTCCACCGAGGAGGCCAAGGAGGTCAGCATGATCTTCATCGTAGCCCATCCTCTGGGCAAGTTCCACACAGGCCATAGCCAGGCTTGGGGCACACCATGGTCTTGGACACTGGAGAAGTCAGAATCTCCAAATTACACTAGTTTTGTTAGTGTCTTTCCATTGGCAAAGTGTATTTGCATGTTTATAATTTAGTGTTTACAGGGTCGGGGATGTAGCTCAGTGGTGCCAAGCCTGCCTGGCAAGCACAAGGTCCTGAGTTCAATTCCCGGTACTGGAGGGAAAAAAAAAGGTCTATATTTTAGTGTTTACGTAAAGGGTATGATTTGATGAGCATTGAATTTGAATACACATGTAAAACTATCAAGACATAGGCAGTTTCTTGTCTTTCCCTACTGTCTCGTGGCAGCCCCTGCCTGGTGTGGTTACCACAGGTTAGGCAGTGTTTTCTGGAGACTTTGATCAATGTGCATGTAAGTTATTTCTATTGCTGTGTGGCATTCCATAGTGTATTGTGTGTTTTAATTCACTTCCAGCCCACAACAGTTTAAGGTGGCGGAGGGGAAGCAGTGGGGGAGCCCAGCAGATGGCTCTCTTTGGATGTGTCCCACCGAAGCTGGGCCGTTGTCTTGGTGCCTGACCACCTTGGAGGCTGCTCCCTGGTGCTGGTGGTAGTAGGTCACCTCTCTCTTGTCTCTGCCAGGAGGAGGATGTCTGCTTTATAGACCTTTTAGACTGTTAGTACCTGGCAAAGCCAGAAAATTTGTGGCTTTGGGGACAGCTTTGCCAGAGTGGCCTCAATGCCACCATCCGTGCTTCCAGGGACCTCTGTTTACCTGCAGTGTTTTTACAGTTGCTTTGAGGATCCTGGTGTCAGAGAGGAACCAGCTCAGGAGGCAGTGACCTGTGATGTCAGGCCTGGCCTGTTCCTACGGCCTCTGCCCTATCACTGGGCTACTTGGAAAGTGGGTCACCCCGCTGTGACTCTTCCTGAGAATGGTGTAAATTGTTGGTTATAGCCTGTACCCTTATTTTGCCTCTTAAGTCACACAAAGAAAGAAAGAGTTAGAATAGTCCATGTTCGACACTCATTGCAGCTCTGTGCCCAAGGCCTGGGAGGTGACACCTCTGCCCTTGAAAGAAGTAGCATCTGACATGGCAGCCCTTCATCGGGCCCTAGTGTGCTGGACCTCACAGTCGTTCTATAGGTACAGGGAGTCGGTCATAGAACAGCCTTGTCCCTGGATGCTCAGTACGCAATACTGACATCTCAGTACTACACACCCAGTATCTGATTGAGCCACCACAGACCAGCTTCCATCACCAAGATACCCAGAGTTCTGCCTATGGTCTGACGCTGCACTGCATTCATTTCTGGTCCTAATGCTTGATTGCCATCTTCTGCTTGCTAACTTGCTGTCCCATTTATTTTTTTATTTAGTTGTTTATTTGAGGCAGGGTCTCACTGTGTAGCTCAGGCTGGTCTGGAACTTCCTGTGTAGCCCAGGCTGGCTTTGAACTTACGTTAATCTCCTGCTTCAGCCTCCCGAGTGCTGGGATTACAAGTGTGTACCACCAAGCCTGGCTTTTCTTTCTTTCAGTAAGACCAAAATAAATGAGTATTTTGTACAGGCACATTACTCTGTGGATAAGATGTAGCTGCCTTAGGTCCATTTTTGGCTGGCAGAGGAGCACCAAAGCACACCAGTTTGGCATGTGTTTTTGCCAGTGGATGCCAAGTCCAGTTTCAGCACGTGAAAGGTGCTTTCAGATGTCTGTACAGTGTCCAGTGTGGAGGCCAGGCCATGTGGACAGACTGAGGTCTGCACAGTGTCCAGCATCGTTCAACATGTAAAGGATGGGCCATAGGATGGACTGGAGTCTGGACAGTGTCCACTGTGACTCAGCACAGGGAGGAGAGGCTGTTGTAGATGAGTTGGAGTTTGTACTGTGTCCAACATGGCTCAATATGTGGAGGGCAGGCCACGTGGATGGTTCCAGGTCTTCCCAGGCCATGTGGATGGGTCAGTGCCTTCTTGGGGTCCACTATGGCTCAGCACACGGAGGGCAGGCTGTGTGGAGAGGTTTTGGTGTCTGGGGAGGTCCGTTCCTCTCAGCTCTCCCGTAGCTGGGAAGACACCATCCTGCTTAATCACCCCGAATTGAAAATCCCTCCCAGCTCCTAGAACTCTGTGATGGGAAAAAGTTCATTTTCTTCATTACCTGAGCTGCTTGTCTTTTACAAGCTTGTCTTGATCTGGCAACAGGTGATTGCGACAAGGTAGGGACCAGCATGTGGAAGGCTGTGATGAAGAGTGCTGGCTGCAAGACAGTGGGCCAGGCTGAGGACATGCTGCTGTGATTCCTGGCACCAACCTGGGAGGCTGGTTCCCAGCAGATTGGTTCATCCGTCTCTCAAGAAGCAATTTTTCTTTGTCAGAAATTCTGAGATGTTATCTGTCACTAAGGCTCAGGAGAGTCTAGAGCTCTTCAGGAGTTACACATGAGCAG